AAAACGATGTCGTCAGCAAAGCGGAGAGTGTGAGGTTGCCGACCGTCGATCTTCACTCCCATGTCTTCCCATTCCAGTTGACGCATGACGTTCTCGAGAGAGGCGCTGATTAGACGAGATGGGTCGCCCTGTCGGACCCCTCTCTTCACGTCGATGATGATCTCCTTGTAGAATGGTGAGATCTTGGTCGTGAAGTTGCTGTAGAGCTCACGAAGAATCCTGATGTACTGAGTAGGAATACCCTGGTTGCCCAGGGCTTCGATAACCGCTTCTGTCTCATGGAGTCGAAGGCTTTCTTCAAGTCGATGAACGTGAGACATAACGGCATCTTGTACTCTCGCGATACTTCAATGAGCTTCGTTACCGTGTGGATGTGATCGATCGTGCTGAATCCTCTTCGAAACCCTGCTTGCTCGCATGGCTGTCCTTCGTCTAGTGTTCTGCCAATCCTGTTCAGGATGACTCGTGTGAAGAGTTTGTAGACTACAGACAGCAGGCAGATTGGGCGATAATTGCCAATGTCGTACAGGTCTCCCTTCTTGTACAGCAACACAGTCTTGCTGGTTTTCCACGAGGTGGGTACCTTGCATTCCGACAGGTAGCGCGTGAAGAGTCGAGCCAGATTGACAAGAACTGGCGGAAGATTCTTCAGATGTTCGGGTCTGATCCTGTCGGGACCGGGTGCCGTACGATTCTTCACCGACGAGATGGCGTGTCGGACTTCGGAAGGGAGAACTGCAGGAACGACATATCCATCCTGCTCCAAGCGGTATGGTGGCAGGTGGACGTGGCTGTCAAAGAGATCCGAGTAGAAGTCGTGGATGACCTTCTCCATTGCCCTTCTGGATGCGGTGATTGTTCCATCCGGACGTCGGAGGGCGGTCATCTTGGTCTTGCAGTTGGCGAAGTCGCGGCGGGCGTTGCGTATGCTCTTCCCAGCCTCTGCGGCTTCCACCAGTACTGCTGCTCTTCTCTCCTTGAGGTCTTCCTTTATCGCTCCTCTGCTAGCCTCGCCGAAGCTTCATGAGGTTCAGCTCGTGGTTGCCTCTCACCTTCCATGCTTGCTCCGCACCTGGCAATCAGGTCGAGAGTTCCAACAATAGACTTCCAGAATCGTGTCCTAGATGAGGGGGACACATGGGGTACTTTGGGTAAATTGCCATAATCTTAATGACTTAAAACCAAATTATCGAGTTGAGTCAAGTTAATAGGAACGGAGCGAAGGCGCTGCTCGGATGTCTTGGACAACACTCGGTGGATTATGGACGATACCTATTCCAGATTGCGTTGGTAATAGGAATAGTGTTGATGGCTTATTGGCTAGGATCGCTACTTCATCGAACGCTTTCGAATGACTTCAGTGAGAAGTTTAAGTGTTGCTCATTCAGGCATTAGTCCTGAAGCTGTCGCACGATCTTTTGGCGTTTTTCACACCATAACCTGAACACGATTTCAGGCGATGAATCTGAAAGTCCGTCAAGAACCTCCAGAAGTCGTAGACAGGCGGGCGGTTTACCTGACTACTATGAAGGTGATACTGGTAGCGATTCATTACCGATGGAGGTGAAAATTGAAAGGCCCCCGCATACACTGTCTGATCGTGACAGGAGAACATACCGGATACTCTCTGCAAGGTCTTTTTATCTTGTTTTATTTTGACGCTCTGGTCCTATGAAAGGAAAAAAGCCAGTCAGCGCTTCACACACTCCATATCCCGAATATGGGGAGGGCGTGACTGCGTATTTCAAGTAAAGGTAGGGTAGGACGCGTTTTTTGTGGGATTCGGAACAAGCCACGCCCACCCCATCTCCGGGATGTGGGGTCCACTCATAGTCAGACTATTTAAGTGACGGACATCCGGAACCAGCTGACGTATACGACGCTGATAGAGATGTGGTCAGTACCTTATATTGCTTATTATAAGGTTTTGTTCAATGGCGAAACCTTACGGATAAGGAAAATTTGTTGCAGTACATCTACTCGGAGATCAACAAGCAGAATAAAGATGACTTACACTCTTGTTCGCGTTCGGAAGAAGGCGCGCTACGGTGTCAGGCCAGTGATGAGTGTGCGTTACGGTGCCTAACCCGTTCTGTGCCAGTTTAATCTGAAGCGGGCGTATGCGACAGCCATTGGCCAAGAAAACGGCGTTATGACTAAGGACATTATTACAGTCTTGTGGGTTGTTCGCTGCATAACGGGTATGCGACAACAGTTGGTAGAAAACGAGTGATACGAACGATATGATACAGTCTTGTCACTTGCTCGCTTTAACAACTGGTGGAGAACGGGTTTGGCACCGCGCCAAACTCATCCCGCTTGACACGCCCCTTCGTCCACAGCGAACTAGACTGTAGCCTAGCGGTATCGAGTCATTAGAGTGACTTACATTAATCACTCTTTCTTCAGATAGGTCATGACGAAAGAAACATACCGAATTCTAGGCCGCGTTCATAGTTCGCTGCACGTCCGACTACAAACTCGCGCTACTGTGGCCGCCCGCGCTTTACGCCAATCAATGGGACGGCTGCGACGGTCAAAATGAGTTCTTTGTTGGATATGAGTGGATAAGAACTTACATCAGTCCAATTGATTTGCAGAGAGGCACGGTCGCCTACAGTCGCGCAATTCGAGTCGCGAAGTATGAATGCGACCCTATGGGATCACAAATAAAATTATCGTACATCTGACAATTACTGCTATGCCTACCGGAAAATCTGTTTCGTGTAGAGCATATTGCAAAGCATGATGGTAAATCAAACTACTGTTTCAATCTAGGAAGCCGCCCCACCTGTTCTGAATGTTGTTTGGGAACCAAAAGAAGGAGCAGTAGCACAGCAGGTAAATAAACGTTAGGTCGCTTTAATAAAGCTACCCCACAGGACCTTCAGACTTATTCATTCGCAGTTGGCGATTACAGCTGATAATTTCTCTTGTGAAACTTGTTTTGGGACAGCTACCCGGGGTAGCACTGTGGGCGGAGACAGAAAGCGACATCATTGGTGTGCCCGTCTACCTTCCGCGTTCCTCCGTTTTTCGTTTCACTGAGGAGGGCGATAAGGGGAAGGGCGCGAAATGCATCGTTTTCGGCTCTGATCGCTCAATAAGCCTGAGCGGTGCCCTTGAGTAGGCACTAGTCACGTACTTTTCAAAAGGTTCTTCAATTCCAGGGCGAAACCAAGACGGCTCGTGGTCCACGTATGTTTTTAATGCCTAGATTTACTTTACTACTTGCACAATTTTTCAGCTTTCGGTTCTTGTGGACCACTTACTCCAATGATAGAACTTCTAGTTACGAAAAAAAATTTCTATTCCAAACGCAGTTCACCGATGATGGAGACCCGGGATCATTGGCCCCGACTCAATGGCGCTTCTTTACCGTCTCAGAAGGAAGGGAAAACAAGTGGAAAGGGCATAGGGCTTGTGAGAATCTGCAGATTCGCTCCTCGGGGAATTCCCCTTTTGAGACCGCGCTCGTCCAATCCGTACGGTTTCTTCCTTGTCCAGTCCCAGTTTTGCCCCAATAAAGACTCCATTGTAAGTGACAAGGACACTGGTACCGTCTCAAGTTGAAGGTACGCTACTTACAGCGACTGCCTCCCCCATTCCGGTGACAGGATCTGTCAGCAGTTCTCCGTTTAGTGCTGAAGACTGTCTCGTTGTAGTCTACAGTCGTTTTCGCTGCGCACGCTGAAGCGTGTCAAAGGGGCTGGGTTCGGAGCAACGCCAGCCAGTTCTCCACCATTTGGTGATGGCGAAAACAGCTATGCCTCGCCTCTCAGCCCACCCTCCAGAAAATGAAGAACACGGTTACCTAGAATGCCTTCCTTGTGTAAAATACACACGCGCTCACATAAAAGGCAGACTGCCTTGTCCTTCAGGTGGCCTTGGGCGATGAAGTGCCAAATTGAGAGGCTGTAGCACCTACTCAGCACCGAATATAACAGATTTGTGCCACAAATATTGATGGGGGGGGGGGTGAGGGAAGGGGTCCCTCCAGTGTCTGAACACTTGTCATTGCAGTTCAACTAGTCTCATCAACTCCTATGAATGTCAAGAAGTACGACCCCGCAAGAGGATGCATGATCGAGGAGGTAACTTTCGTTTTTCATTGGAACTGGCAAAAGTATAGGCATTGACCGTTCAGGGGAGCTCAATGGTACAAGAAGGCCTATTTGGGAAGCGACAGATCCACACAGGGTGCAGGCTTTGCTCAGTACAATCGGTGGGGCCACCAAGCCGAACTGCCCCAAGGTAGTACACTGGGTCGCGATTCCCCAGTGGACACATTTGATCGCGGCACCTAGTAATTGTAAATTCCATGGAAATTCTGCACAGCTTCTGTCCTTCAAAAAAAGATGGCACAGATTTTGTTACGGTTACAGCGTCTTTTAGGGGCTTTAAATGGAAAGATTCGTTTGAAGGTGCACTCCTTGGTTGGCATAAGGGCGTGGTCAGGCCCACTATTATGCCGCCCTCATTGGCGTGTTTTTCCTCTTTGGTGGTCTATAAAAGAAGAGCCCAGGAGGAAATCACAGTGGTTGAGTGATTTCGTTCAGGGTGGATCGATAGGATCAGGGAATTAGTCAGACCTCGACATCCCACTGTTCAATTCCCATTCTATTCTGGCCTTCTGCATGACTGAGTTTTTACACCGAGAATGGGGAATATGTATCGATTGGCTACAGTTTTTACCCTTGCAAAAAAGAAGATGACTGAACGGGGATGGATTGGAATGCAGCCAGTGCAGCCCTTTTCACCATTTGTTGCTAGTTCAGGATGGCATCAGTTGGTGGAAAAGAGCGCCCTGGCTGCACTACAATCCACTCTCATCATACGCCCTCCCCAATGCGACTCCCCAACGTGATGCTGCCTAAACAATAACTTGTAAGGGTCAGTCGATGCAAATCAGGTTTCTTATCCGCTCGGACGAACAGAGTACGGTATCGTGATGTGTGAAATGGTGGTGTCAGTACGACCACCCCCCCCCCTGAAAAAGGGTCTCAGTACGAGGACGATGGTTTTCGCCAAGACCACCCTCTCAGGCACGAACCCCCTTCCCCAACACCCACCGACCATTTTCCTACATGTTCTCAGCTTCCTACCATTTT